CCTTTCCTTGGGTATTAATTTATTGGTCCAGTGTTTTAGGCTTTGAGTCCTTGTTTTATGTGCTACACTTCGTGTTCTTGCACTTTCTATCTCATACCTATGTCTGAAGTGAGTCTTTCTGTCTCTTCCCTTTGATTAGGGAGGCTCGTTAGTGCCTGTTTAATTCAGCATCCCTTAGCTCATGGCACACTCTTCCACAACACTCCTGCCAAATCCATTTTAGTGACTCAGCAGGAGCTTGTCATTAACAACAGTCTTGTAGAAAGTAAAAATTAAGCAGTCTTGGAAAGCAAAGTGCAGTGTACCATGTATGTGTAAACCTTTGGTAGCAATCAGCACAGCTTCCTGGTGGGTAGGTAGTCAAGTTCCTCGCCTGACACTACCCTTCCTTTGAAGCACTAACAAGTTCAGTTCTCAAAAGGAGTTTAAAATAATGACTGCAGCGAAAAGGCCCCTTCAATGTTATTGAAAAGACAACCTGTTTCCAAATCTTATATTTGTTTATCTAATGTATAAACCATTAGATAGATAAAGGAGAAGGCAGATGGAATTCAAAATAGCAGCTTTATTATTGGTAAAACCTGGTTCAGGGAATATGGCTTTAAATATGTGGCTTACCAATCAATGTTGCTTTCCAGTATTAAGCTCATCTCTCCATCTCTTTAACAATCCTAGCTCTGCCCTCATTACCCTCTAAGTTACTAACAGAGTTGAAAGCCACAGGACCCCTTGGCAGTGGCAGAGCCTTCCCTCATAGACTTAGCAGAGGGGAGCGCCTGCCAGAATGCAGCCCACTGCAGTCAGGTGGGTCCCAAAAGCTGAGCCATCCGTGCCTAGTCCCCCTACTTGCAAACTCACCATTGAGAAGAGTCCCTCCTCCTTCCTTAGTAAGAGGAATGGAGAGAAATAGGAGTGTGACTCCCATTAAAGGGAGGATAGTAAGAGAGCCCAGGCCTGGGTCAGATGTTGATCTGATGGGGCAATGCCTCCTGGGTAAAATTATTGATCGATGAAGATGAGGCTAAGTGGATGAGGACGGTTTGGACAATGGATACTTTCGGCAGGTCTGGAACTCACTGATTTTTATTCCTTTAAAGTCTACTGACGATGCCATAAAGACAAACCTGGAGGATTTTTTATTAAATAAATGTCTGGTCCTGAAGCAGAGGCAGAGTAATAGGAGAGGGCTAGACCTCCATGAGGAGGAGAAGGGAAAGGACTGACTTAACAAGCAGCCAGCAGGTATGGCCTGAAATCTTCGATGAGACTGGGAACCACTGCCAGGGATCCAGCTTCCCTCGAGGCGTCACCCAGACAGGCCTCCCTGAGCACGGCTGGCAGGCGAGGTGCAGGGGCTCCCCGCTGCAGACCCTGAGCTGCTCTCTGCAGTCCCCGTGCACCTTCCCTCTCTGAGCCCTCCAAACCCTCGCCCCTGTCTACCCACCAGCACACACAGGATTCCACGTGGGTATCATATGGTACTGCCAGTATTTTACCTTTTGGGACCTAAAAAATGGCTATTTCATGTAGTTCAAACTAATATTCAACAGATTTAGCTTTTCTTTTTTTTTTAGCTGAGCCATCCTGCCACCTGTTGGCAGCTCAGCAGCTGCTCAGCTCGAGCGGGGACTCGAACCGCTGTTGCTCAGAGCTCAAACTCTTGAGCAAGCTCTTAACCAACTGAGCCTCTCAGCCGGCCCGTTTTCTTTTTTTTTAATTCTAGGGGGACAACTGACTTCAGTCTATTTGGGCTTTTCAAATAGCAAAAATCCCCCAAGGCAAGTAAACAGAAATAGATGACTTTATTCCATGGCAAAGGAAAATAAAGAGAGAAAAATAAAAACTAATATCTCACTGAAGTATGTTGATGCATTTATATGGTAATAATACTACTATAACTACTACTACTAATAATACTTATTTTTATTATAATGATTCCTAGTATCTATCCCCCTTTCTCCCATCTGCATTGTCATTGTGTGATTCACAGGGGCCTTAGATTATTCATACTCTGTGGATTGTTTAGCTTCATCTCCCATCTCCCTCACACCAGCCACACCTCAGCCACACCACCCTCCCAGCAGCTAACCAACTTCTCACAATTATATAAACTCTTCTATCTTTCTGGAAACTACCTCCCCCACCTCGACCTTGTCATGCTGATAAACTTCTCCTCCTTAAAGACTTTGCTGAGACATGATCTTCTCTGTTTCCTCCCACAAAATTAAAGCATCCTCTTTTGTATTTATAAGTGCCTTATAAGGTACTTAGACTAAAGGTGATCAAATAATTTGTCATCCAAAGTGGGACATATTTAAGAGTGAAAGAGGATGCTACTAATAATTACACCAAAACCAGGACTGCCCCAGGCAAACGAGGGTGTATGGTCACCTTACTTATCCTTACAGTGCTGTAATGATTTTTTACATTTCCATCACCTCCCCCCCCACACACACACACAAATATGCACACATACACAGGCAGAGAATCCCTGGAAGGCATGGACCTCAACATCTTGTATTATGACTGCTGACACAGAAATTGAGTAAACCATGGGGATTTTATTGGAGGAGAACATTCTAGACTAATGGAATGGCAGACACAAAAAAAAGGAGATGGGAGGGAACATTTATAAGGAAAACAAGGAAACCAATCTGGGTGAAATGATGTTTAACGATTGGAATATAATTTGGAAAAAATTGTGGAAACTCTTTATCATGCTGAAGAATTCCTAACAAAGTTGAGGGACAGGGGAAGGTTTACACATGGGGCAATGACTTGGAAGATAACTGATACTTTTATGTAAGATGAATTGGAGGGAGGGAAAGGCAAAGAGAGCTGCAGAGACTATATGGATAAGAAAGATGAGATTATGAATGCCTGGACTAGTACTCTTTGTCATTTAACCTTTTATGCTTGATGAAAATATCAGGACTCAAGATCTCAAGTGAAAGAAACCCAAATAAGCCTGGTTTAACCCAAAAGGAAAATTTATCAGCTCAGCCAGTGTAAATACAGGAGGTGCAAAAAAATGTATACACATGAATTGTATTCATCTTTTGTTATAGATACATATTGAGTATTAAATTTTAATGCAGTTTTTTCCCCTTTCTTAAAATGTGTATTCCTTTTTTTGGGACCCTCTGTATGTAGGCATTGCTGGATCTAGATTCTCAAACATTGTTATCTGCTCAGGAATGTTCTCCTCCATCTCTTGGTTCTGCTTCTTACTGTATGGGATTTGTTCTCAGTCAAATTCTCCCCAAAATGGCCATCAGTAACTTCCAGCCTACTTTTTTACCAGTTTACCAATCCCAGTAGAAAGAGAACACCACTTGCCAATAGTTCCAGCAAAAATCCTGAGGATCATTCTGATTGGTTACCTATGTATACCTGAACTAATCACTGTTGATAGGAGGGATAGTCATGTGCCCACAGGTGATGGAGTCAACTTCATCCAACCACATAAACAGAGTGTGTGTGTGTGTGTGTGTGTGTGTGTGTGTGTGTGTGCGTGCACATGTGCGAGCTGGGACTGGGGGAATGACGGTGGTGGTGGAGGCAGCGATAGCTTGCTAAAGGAAAACTAACTTCTTTAAAAAGAGAGAATGAGGCCGGCCGAGTGGCTCAGTTGGTTAAGAGCTCGCTCAAGAGTTTGAGCTCTGAGCAACAGCGGTTCAATGCCAGCCTGAGCTGAGTTGCCGCTGAACTGCCAACAGGTGGCAGGATGGCTCAGCTAAAAAAAAAAGAGAGAATGGATATTAGGAATGCAAAAACAATAAAACAATAAATTTTCTCTGCATAAAGTCTATGGTGCTGCTGATTAGATTGCAGATAAGATTGAGTTCTTGATCATGCAAATCAAATCACAAAAATAAAATTATCAAGAGGAAACATAAAGTGATGAATTTCTAAATGATCAAGAAAAAGAAATGCACCAATTCCAATAATTTAGATTGTATTTATTCCAGATATTTAAAATATAACAGACAAGATATGAGTCATTTTTATTATCTTTAATTCAATAAATATTTTACATATTATGATACTGGACATACCATGCTAATTATCCAAACAAAATAGAAATTATTATTTTATGTCTCCAGTGTAATATATAGATACACCAGTATAGGCACTTCTGATTACTGATCTTTGAGGAAGTCATGAGGGAGTCAGAGAAGGGCTATAAAGGGCAATTAAAATGGCTCTATCTTTAAGGGAGTTCCTAAAATAGTTTTATTGAGAAAACCCTTTTTTATTAATAAGGGTTAGTTAATTGTGAAATGATAGGGACTATAGGTTTGAGAAACATGTATAAATTTGTTTGTAGACTTGGTAACATAATTCTGATAAGACTATAAATGTGAATTTTCCATGAAATTTATGTTCTGAGTTTCAGAACATAATAATGGATGATCCATATAATAAATTCAGAACACAAATACAAAAGAGAGAAACAAAGATTCGACTAGCTTTAAATAGATTTTAGATAACAAATGCGTAAATATAGAATAATTCTATTTGGCATTCAGGTTATACACTTACATGTATTCATTTATGTATGTTTGTATATAATATGAATAAAATACTGGACTAAATATAGTGAATATCTCTTATTGGTAGATTTTGGTACAATTTTGTTTTCTTAGTTGGATTTTTAAATAATTTCTAGAATGAATGTGTATTACTTATCAATGAAAAAATGAATAAAAAAATTTTCTTGAAGAGCAAAAAGAATTCTGACATACGGGGGAAACTAGCATGCCCTTTGAAGTGATGTCATTGTGGTCCTTCTCAAAAATTTTTTTCACATATATCCATGAGTAGCTCAGAAACAACATTGGGTTAGATGGGCCACTGATCTGAAAGAATGTGGCATTTCTCTTACTATGTAAATATTAATCAAATACATTTCTACAACATTATGCCAGGGTAAGTGATAAGAATTTAATCATATTCGTTGACACCTATCTTACTAAATCATTTTTATTCTTTTTAAGAATGCACCATTCAAGAACAAGGTTTTGATACAGAAAATAATCTGAACCAAATACCCAGCTTGATGGAAGCCATCTTTAAAGTATTATACTATTGCACTTTTTCTCCACAAACCTTTGGAAATATTTTTGTGAGCTACATGGAAGAAGAACAATTATGGAACTTTTTATACAATATTCCAGGTATGAGAAATTTACTACCTCTAAAAGAAGCATTTTAAAGATACCTGAATGTATTTTTAAAGGTCTTTAAAATTTTTTAATATAAGTTTTGCTGAGCTTGTTATTTGTAAAAGCTTATCTTACATTTTTTTTCAGCATAAAAGCTTCTTTTGGGAGTCATTAGTTGTTAGTTCCTATCAAAATTTAGTATACTTGGGACAAGGCAATGGGAAAGTTAAGGGGGAAAATTATGTAATGCCAATTTTCTTTTATTATTATTATTATTATTATTATTATTATTAAGAAGACGTGTTCTCTCATAAATATTTAATTTAATATTTACCAGTGATTATGTTTTGCTGTTGGGCATACATTAGTAAGATGTTATTTGTAAAAGTTTTTTGAAAAAATGTTTTTCAATGCTTGGGTGCATTTATTCAATGAGCTGATGGACAAAACTACTGGTCAATTTTCTTCAAACATAAAAGGCATTTATCATGATGACCATGGTGCTTCTCTCTACAAGGCATTTTATCATTCTTTTGGGGGACAATATGTTTTCCCATTTGTTTTGTTCTTCTGCCTATACCTAGAGCAAATGTTAAAGAGAGAGCAAGTTAGTATCTGAATAGGAAATATTCATGGGCCGCCCCACCTTCAGGGCCAGATGCAAAGATTTTCACATTGTTTTATCCTTAATGTCCTGCCTTTAAATCTCCATACTTAATATCTGGGGGGGAAAAGGATGGGAACTTACACAGTGGTTGTCTTGTTAGTCCATTAACCATTTACATCATTTACATTTGGCTGTCAACCTATAAGCTTTCTCATACTCTGTTTAGAACTGAGATTTTCATAAAATATTTCCTAGGAGTCATATAACAAAATCTAATTGGCTTGTAATTCTGGTTTCATTCTTTTGACTATCCTCTAGACATTATTTGAATATCTTTTTTGCTATTTTAAAGTCATTACATTACATATTCTGTCGGTCATTATCCCTGCAAAATAGCAATAGTTAACTTTAAGTAATGATTTCAAAAATCTGAATCTGTGACTTAAAGATTCTGTAATAATTATCTCCTTTTAAAGTTTTGTCTCCTAGATTTTGTGCATTCATTCACTGCTTCCTTTTTAACCAAAGGAGGGGCAGTTTTTTAGATAACAAGACTAAGTTACTTCTGATGTGGACTTGACTGAACTGAAAGAAAAACAATTTTGAAAGCCCCTTTACTCCCTGCTGTTTTTAGTTGTTTCTGGTGAAGTAAGAGCTATTGTAGATTCTCTTGAAAGCTTATAAAGAATTGGGGACTCACATGCTTCAACCATTACTTTTCCTTCTACGCTTAGGTTTTTGAACCATTTTTACATGCAGCACAAAACTGTACTGAAAATTACCTAGAAGATATCAGTAGACTTTAGGTACTGGCATGAGAGAGCAATCTGCTACTTGCTCCTACTTAGTCTTCTCTTTGTCTACACATTGAGCAAATCATCCTCCACAAGGTCTTAGAAGTCTCTTGAATCAGGAATTACACATATTCACAGAGCCCACGTTGTGTGTGGAGGCTCAAAGAAGCAGAACTTCAAATTGGTGAAATGTCCTTGGCTTTTATACAAGTTGTTTCTCTATAAACATTAACAAATATATTTTGGGTCTCAAATATTCTCTGGAACCTGAGACTGTGCAGTGGTCACAGGGGACTATACCTTTGTTTTTTTCTCTCCTATTTAAATCTTTACAAATGTTTTTCTTTTCTTGTGTTAGCAATTATGATTATCTTAAAAACTCTAATAAGATAGTGCAATATACTAATTCATAACAAAAATAACCCTTTTACTATGACTTCTGTTTAACTTGAAAATATAGCAGGTTTAAAGGAAATACAGCAGAGATACATAATCATAGTCTCACAATATTTACATTTTACCACTAATAGATCTACGCTTTAGTAAATATAAATAACTTACCCAGACCAACTGGAGTGCATTATTTAAAAACTGGTATGTTTTCCGCCTCCGGAAACACTGTCACTGATTTCAGTATACCTATCCATAGAGCATCACGGTCTTATCATTTTTTTTTTTTTTTTTAAGCTGAGCCATCCTGCTACCTGTTGGCAGCTCAGCGGCTGCTCAGCGGCTGTTCAGCGGCTGCTCAGCTTGGGCTGGACTCGAACCGCTGTTGCTCAGAACTCAAACTCTTGAGCGAGCTCTTAACCAACTGAGCCACTCGGCCAGCCCCACAGTCTTATCATTTTATGGTTGAAAGGCAAGGATGAAGTAGCCCTTACCCTGATCTTGTTGCTGAGTAAACCAAGGTCAGGATGTTAAGAGCATTGCCAAAGATTGTCCAATGATGACGTTGCAGAATCAGAACAAGAAACCAGATCTTTTGACACCTAGCCTATGTTATTTCTCTTTGACAAAATATTTTGAAACATTTGCTTTATGAGCATATGAATTTAATAATGAAATATACAATCTGATTTTATAATTAGAAATCCAACACATAGCTCCTGTGAATGAACATAATCTAGTGGAGAAAAACTAGTCTGAAAATATCCATTTAAAAAAAGATTACGAGAGACCTTCTACAACAGTTGCTAGATGGGATGCTGGCTGATTCATGAATTGCATAATAAAGCCAATTAGATCTTCAAATTAAAAAACAAAAAAGATTACAAAAGATAGAAATACAAATGTAATTAAGTTGGGGTCCTCCAGTGGTCATTTCTTTTTTTTTAAATAACTTCCTTATTTTTTAATTATAGCTGACATTCAATATTATATTAGTTTCAGGTATACAACATAGTGATTAGACATTTATATAACTAATGAAGTGATCACCCCAATAAATCTAGTACCCATCTGACACCATATATAGTTGGTGTATGTATAATAATTTCAAGTTGATTTTTTTATATAGCGTGAGTGAGGTGTTATTTCAGCTTTTGATTGCATGAGAAAAGTACTTTGCCTTTATGTTTGAAATTTATATATTTTTATACAAATGTATAATTTTTCCAGCACCATTTTTAGAAATCACTATTCTATACCTGTTGAATTACTTCAATGCTTTTGTCAGAAATCAAATGACCAATTAATCAAATGTATGCATCTAATTGTGGACTCTCTATTCTAATACTTGGAACTACATGTCCCTATTGTTATTTGCTTTCTGTTTGTCCCATCTAAATTTTGTTCCTTTTCTCTTCATTTTGACTTTCTCTTGGATTAACTCAGTATTTTTCAGTATTACATTTTTCTCTGTTTCCTTGTTAATTTTCTGTCTGGATGATCTACTCATTGGTGTCAGCAGGGTGTTAATGATTGTGTTACTGTTGATCTCTGCCTTTATGTCAATAAATATTTGTTTTATATAACCAGGGGTGCCAAAAAAAACATATACACATGACTTGTATTCATCTTTTTTTATTGGTATATATTGAGTATTACAATTTTAATACTGTTTTTTCCTTTCTTAAAACATGTATACATTTTTTGGCACCTATTCTATTTGGGTGCTCCTATGTTGGGTGCATAGATGTTTTCCAGGGTTATGTCCTCTTGTTAGATTGATCCCTTTATCATTATGTAATGTTCTTTTTTGTCTCTTATTGTAGTCTTCATTTTAAAGTCTATTTTGTCCGATGTAAGTATTGCTACTCCAGATTTTTTCTTATTTCCATTTACATGAAATATCTTTTTCCATTCCTTTACTTTCAGCCTATGTGTGTCTTTCCACCTGAGCTGGGCTCTTGTAGGCAGCATATGCATGGGTCCTGTTTTCTTATCCATTCGGCTATCCTATGTCTTTTGATTGAAGCATTTAATCCATTTACATTTAAAATTATTATTGATCTGCAATAACATAGATATTATAATTTGTTATTCATATTTTTTATTTTCGTTTATTTTCTCCTTTCTTCTCCTTAAAGACATTTCTTGTAATACTCGCTTGGTGGCAATGAATTCCTGTAGCTTTTTTTTGTGTGGGAAGCTCCTTATCTCTCCTTCAATTTTAAATAATAGCCTTGCTGAGTAAAGTAGTCTTGGTTGTAGGCCTTTGTTTTTCTTCACTCCCTTCTGGCCTGCAAAGTTTCTGTTGAGAAATCAGCTGACAATCTTATGGGGCTCCCTTATAAGTAACTATTAATAGTTGTTTTTCTCTTGATGCTTTTAGGATTCTCTCTCTGTCTTCAACCATTGCCACTTTAATTATAATGTGTTTTGGTGTGGGCCTGTCTAGATTCATCTCGTTTGGGACTCTCTGTACTTCCCGGGCTTGTATGTTTATTTCCTTTTTCAGGTTAGGAAAGTTTTCAGTCATTATATTTTCAAATAGGTTCTCAATCCCTTGCTTTCTCTCTTCTTCTTCTGGTATCCCTATGATGTGAATGTTGGTACGCTTGAAGTTGTCCCAGACGTCTTTTAAACTATTCTCATTTTTTTTATTCTTTTTTATTTTTGCTGTTTCAGTTGGGTGTTTTCTGCTACTTTGTCTTCTAGATCACTGATTTGATCCTCTGCTTCATCTAGTCTGCTAGTGATTCCTTCTAGTGCATTTTTCATTTTGGTTATTATATTTTTCATTTCTGACTGATTCTTTTTCATGTTTCCTACCTCCACTTGTGTGTTTACTATCTCTTTGCTGAAGTTCTCACTAAGTTCCTTGAGCATCCTTATAATCATTGTTTTGAACTCTGTATCTGGTAGGTTGCTTGTCTCCATTTTGTTTAGTTCTTTTTTGGGAGTTTTCTCCTTTTCTTTCATTTGGAATGTATTTCTTTGTTTCCTAATTTTGGCTGCCTCTCTGTTTGTTTCTATGAACTAGGTAGATCTGCTACCTCTCCAAATATTGGCCAGGAAGCCTTATGTAGTACGTACTCTGTGGGAGCTAGTGACAGTCTCCCTGGTCACCTGTGCTGGGTGCTCCATGAGCAAACCCAGATGTTGTGGGGGGCCCTCTTCCTAGCACTGGTACTTGGGGATGGGGAGCCCAGTGTGGGCTTGGGGGT